TAGGCTCTGACCTCCCCAGAACGCTATCCAGAGCTGCCTTGTCCTGGTTGCAGAGTGGAGCAAAGATTCACTTAGACAAAGGAAGAGGTGACAAGAAATAGCACCACCTCCTCAGTCAGCTGGCTGGTGGGCAAAAGGGAGTGAAGCAAGAAATGTGCACTATCCCTAACATACCTACACAAAAACATTTTTCTACATCCTACTTTGCTGAGTAGAGACTGGAGTCTTTGAAGTTTGCAAGTGGCCATCTAAGATGTAAAAATTGGCATCTCCTTGCTGGGAGCAAAGTAGAATGAAGAACACAAAAGATGAATGCAAACAATTAATCCAAGGGACAATGCAAACCTCAGCTTACATGACCCTGAGACCGGAAGAACTATATGGTGCTCAGCTACCACTGTCAACCACTGGTAAAGGGATCAGTGTAGGAGGTCCTGGATAGAGTGGGAGGAAAATGTGGAACAAAATTCAAAACGATAAAATACCAGGTTTACTGCTCTGATAGAGAGTGGTGAAACCCCTCTGACTAGGGCCCCTAGTCACCGTTTGGGCCTGGAATTGAACTCACTCCCATGGCTTCCAGCCAAACAGAACACAGGCATATAAGGTAAACCTTTATACTAGGTAGGTACGCTCCTTAGAACAATCAACCATGGGAGATTGGAAGGGCAGTATTTGTACAGGGAAATTGCTCAGAGGGCAGGAATACATAGGAAAGAAGGACAAAGGGAAAAGGTAACCACAGGGAGGAAGTGGGAATAGAGCTGTTACATTATACAGACTGCAATCAATATCATGAAACAAAATGTGTATGAACTATTGTACATAAAATGAATTTGTTCTGTAAACTTTCAACCAAACCACAATTTAAAAAAAAAAAAAAGTGGAAAAAAAGAAGAAAAAGAAATGTGCACTGTCCCTAATTGGTTTATGCTTAGGCTTACCCAACAGGAAGCTTCAGTAGGTAGTACCTTACCTAATTTAGGGACAGTTCAGAAGAGAATTAGTTTACAGAATTACATTTGCATAGAATACCATCAAGATGGGAAAGCTATTTGAAGGAATAAAGGTGAACTGGCAGTGTTTCCAGCACACATAATCCCAAATATTCAAAGAGAAAAGGGGGAGGAGGACCCAGAGGAAACTGCTCTAATCCAAGGTCACTGATGTGTGCTGTTAGAATCCTTGAAGCCTTCTGTGCCCCAATACATCCTGATCTAAGTCAGGATAAAAGAGTTCAGCTCAAAGCAAATGTGGGACAAGGGCTGGCACGGCCCGCAGTGTACCAGTCTCTGAGATTTGAGTGAGGCCAATATATGTGCTGTTTAGCAACCACTTGCTAAACACATCCTTTTTGGGGAGTTTGCCCAGTGGCCATGACCACTTATCTTGGCATCACGCCAACATCTGGGTTCCTATCTTTACTAGGCCTCCTATTACACATGGGAAAATGCTTCTTGTCAATCCTCCTTCTAGGTCAGGAGAACAGGAGGAAAAGTAGAGGAGAAAGCAAGAAAACAAAAGAGTGAGGTGCAAAGGATGCCTCATCCTGTCTCACCTACACAATCCAGAGTATTTCCCTACCACCCAGTATCTCTCCTGAGAAGTTGCAGATATAGGGAGCCAAACACTGACCGGCTGATCTTCACTCCATTGCTGTTCAAACTACACAGAGAACTTCCATTCAACATCAGAATTATTGGCCCAGGATCCTCTTCAATTCCAGCCACATCTGCAGTAAATACCTCAGGCCACATGGTGACTTTGCTGTTGGCTTAGGTTGATATAGGCCATAGAGGGTGCCAGTAATCACCCTTTAGTCCTTCATCCAGCAAGTACCCAGGGCAGCATTGGAATGTGGAGGATACAGGAACCTATAGAAACTCAGGCTTTCTCAGGTCTAGGGTATGGCTATACTGTTTGCTTCTTCTGTAAAGCAGGCAATCAAGGCATCTGAAAGAATTAGTTGGCACGTTCAGGGAGATTTCAACTATGTGACACTGAATCCTTCCCTACCGTCTTTCCTGCCCTTTCTATCCCTTCTCCTATATCCCATAAGTTACTAGCCTTGGCTGGAGGGTCAGTATCTGACATTTCTTTATTTAATCTCTTTTGTCCAGGAGATTTCTTCAACTAGTACTGCTCAACTCATTGCAAAATGCCCGTAGGAGTGTACAACATCACACTCACTGCTGGAGTTTCTCTTCCACTGTGCCCTAAAGTAAGCCTGTGCCATTTTATATAGCTCTCCTAATGAGAAACACTTTTATCCACAGAGCATGTCAGATAGATACTTTGTGACCATGATTTCCAGAATCACAAGTCTGGCAGGCAGATATGGATAGACAGGTCAGTCTTTTCTGTTTGTACAGAGGACAAAACAGAGGACAGAGATGTTAAGTGAACTGATCAAGGTCAGAGAGCTTATAAGTGATACAGGCTGGGTCAGAAATGTTCCCAACTCTGAGTTCAACACTCTTTCTTCTATATTAGGGATCCCCTTTCTATACATGGGCAGAAGGTTGGGCATTTCTGGGTGCAATTCTGCTTTCCCAATAGGACACTTTGCCTGACCGCAGAATTAATTCACTGGATGCAGCCATATTCTATCACATAATCTCTACCAACAACAAGGAGACATCAAAGATTATGGCCTAGACAAGGCCCCTTCCCTCAGGGGGATTACAATCAGAGGTCCAGTCATGGAGTCATTTAATTACTCCCAGCCAAACAGTTATGAAGTATTTATTTACTACTTAAGAGTTCAGTTAAGAACACCTGTAAAATTTTTGCAAGATGTATTTTGTCAACACCATGTGTTAAATGCCATTCTGACACACTACTTGAAACACCCTGAGAGGCAAAATCTGGGTTTTGTGGTAGGCGCTTTTTATTTATCATCTTGTTTAATTCTCACACCCTTTATTAATCCCACTATACAGATGAGAAACTGAAGCTCAGAGAGGGGAAGAGGCTTGTCTAAGCTAGTGCACTTTTTTTTTCTGTTTTTTATTGTGCTTTAGGTGCAAACTTACAGAGCAGAATTTGTTTTACAGTCAACATTTCGTGTACATTTGGTTTCACTCCCCAATTACCATCCCCAACCCTAACCCACTCTCCTCCTCTCCTTTCCCAGTAACCCTCTCCCACCCCCACCCCTGTGCCCTTCATAGTTATGCACTCCAGTGTGTCCTGCTTTTCCTCCCTGTGTATGTTGCCCCTCTGGTGCCCCATGGCCGATGGCTCCAAGGGATTTATCTCCAAAGGCTTTGTGGGTGCATTGCCCTGGGTTGAGTGGTCTGCGTGTATGTCTTATTTACTATTTGGCTGAGTGCCAGCCCTTGGGAGTGAGTTTTATCCTAGGCCTGAAGTGTATCCCAGGGCCATAGTCTTATAAGCTAGTGCAGTTTGAATAATGTAAAAAAGAACACAGTATTTGCTATAAGGCCTTCTTCAGCAAAAGTTGACTCATTATCCTATTCCCACTGTTATGGAGTCAATTCTGACTCAATGTGACCCTATAGGGCAGACTAGAACTGACCCCACATGGCTTCCATGACTGTCAGTCTTTACAGAAGAAGACTGCCACGTCTTTCTTCCACAGAGCAGCTGGTGATGGGTTTGAACTAGGGACATTTTGGTGAGCAGCTGAGCATTTTAACCACTGTGCCCCTCAAAAAGCATCAGGGAGTAAGAGGCCTGTGAGCAGGCAGGTGGAATTTAGATAGGTGGAGAGGGGAGGCAAGCCACTTTGGGCAGAGGAAACTGAGCAAAGGCATGGCGTTGGGGAACAGAACATTCAGTTTATGCTCTGAAAGGAACAAAATAAATCATGTATCCAGGTTGACTGGAGCCTAGAAACCTGAGTCATTCTGCACTCCCCCTCCTCCTCCCCACTTCTCATTTCCATCCAGTCACTCTCCAAGGCCTGTCAAAGGTAACCCTTAAAATACCTCTCTGCCTTTCCATCCCCATAGCAACTACCTCAAGATTCACTTTCATCTACCCTTGCTTCTTAACCTAATTTCCTTCTAACTGGTCTGCCAGGCTCGGAAGGAAAATTGGGCGATCAACTTCCATAGTGATACCATCTGGGAAACCTGAGGAGAGTCGAATCCACTCAAGGGCAGTGAGTTTGTTGTTGTTTTGTTTTTGTCTGCCAGGCAGTAGTCTCTCCCTCAGTGAGGCTGCACAAATACAAATCTGATCTTGTTACTGCCCTGCGTAATTACCCTGTGAATATATAACATTTTCAAGGCTTTCTAGGAGCCACTGAAAGACTGCTATTGCAGTCCCATCTCCTTTCATCACCCAACACTGTGACCGTAATAATTTTGCCTGAGTTCTATATGGGCCCACAAATTAATTAATAAACACATAGAGGCCCTCTGAAAATAGAAAGGGTGAATGGACGCCATAAGGGAAAGGAAAGGAGGGCGGGGCCAGATGATTCTTTCCAGGGATAGCCCACCCACACACAACCTGCCTTAGGTGAGACTGTAGTAGAGGCCCGTTCCTCCCCAAGACCCACGAGCCAATCTCTGCATTACACTGCAGTTACATGATCCTTACGCCATGCTTTTCCCTTCTGCATGCCCCAGCCCCTGCCAGTCGGTAGCTGTCATTTATGCCTCTGCACCACCCCTCTTGTGTGCCAGCGGAAATCATTGTGGATGACCCGCCCACTTCCTCTTTGGGGTTAGACGCGTGCGTGGCAAAAGAGGCGGAGCCAATCTTGTGAGTATTCTCGCGTACTGCTGCTGCTGCTGCTGCTGCAGCTGCAGCTGCAGTTAGTGGCGGCAGCTGCTCAAGCGAGTCGGCTTGCTTGCTCGGGAAAGAACTTTGGCGTGAGAACGTCTGGTTCATTGCTACAAAGACTGTATTTGACGTACTTGGCTTCATCTGCGGCCCCTTCTTGCGGTAGAGATATTTCCATTCTGCAGGGGCTATAGGCATCCTTCCCTAGGATAGCTGTAGGCTTTGCGCGCCTAGGAGGAGACATGCCTCGGGGACGGAAAAGTCGGCGTCGCCGGAATGCAAGGGCTGCAGAAGAGAATCGCAACAATCGCAAAATCCAGGCCCCAGAGGTCTCCGATACCCGGATGGCTGCCTCGGTGGTCCATTGCACCCGCGAGGACGACCTGAGCGGCCGTGAGGAAAACCCGAGCACCTCAGAGGAGGCTTCCACCACCCCTGAAGAAGCATCCAGCACTGCTCAAGCACAAAAGCCCTCGGTAGCCCGGAGCAATTTTCAGGGCACCAAGAAAAGTCTTCTGATGTCCATATTAGCCCTCATCTTTATTATGGGCAACAGGGCCAAGGAGGCCTTAGTGTGGAAGGTGCTCGGGAAGTTGGGGATGCAGCCTGGCAGGCAGCACAGCATCTTTGGAGATCCGAAGAAGGTTGTTACTGAAGAGTTTGTGCGCAGAGGGTACCTGATTTATAAGCCAGTGCCCCGCAGCAGTCCCGTGGAGTACGAATTCTTCTGGGGCCCTCGAGCACACGTGGAATCCAGCAAGCTGAAAGTCATGCATTTTGTGGCAAGGGTGCGTAATCGATGCTCCAAGGACTGGCCATGTAATTATGATTGGGATTCAGACGATGATGCAGAAGTTGAAGCTATACTCAATTCAGGTGCTAGGGGTTATTCTGCATCCTAGAGAAACCTAGAGTAGACCCCTGGGTGTGGAAAACAGTCGAAAGTACCCCCAAGGAGTAGATCACTTGGGTCCTGAGTTAAAAATAACTGGGACTGGAGAGGGTGGCACTATATTTGCTATTTGTGATCAGTGCTAATTGTTTAACTACAGAATATAGTGTTTGGATAGTGTAAATTTTATTCATGTTAATGTACTGTTGAATTAGAATCACATTTGTTTAAAAATATAATTAAGAGATTTTTTTTCTTTTTATTTTGTCCTCAAGATTTAGTGGGGTTTTTTGCTAGCATTTTAAACAGTGTTTCTAGCATTATAGAATGAAGTTTTTCCATCGTATTCTGTGATCTGGTACACATTGTATATCGTTGGTTTAGGCTGTTCTTTGGAAGTTTGACATAACCAGTAAAATGTGGGGGGAGTAAGAGGGAATTCTCCATGTCTGACCTTTCTGCATCTCTTTGTGTCTGTTGTTGTGTAAAGAAGACTGACGTTTACTGCAATGTTGCTTAGTTACTGCAGAATACAGAAAAAAATAAAAGTATAATGACTAGAACATCTTGTTCATTTATTGACCACTTGTTTTATGTGAGGCACAAGTATAGGAACCTAGCATGCAGCCCTGGTTCCAAAAAATGTTCCAGATCACAGGGAAGAGACAACAAATGTGAACTAATGGTGCAATGAGTGCTGTAATGGGGGTAAGCATGGGGTTCCATTAAAAAATAGGCAAAGCATATGTGACCTGTCTTGAGGATTGGGTCAGTGAATGGGACATAAAGGGGTACTACTGAAATTCAAGAGATGATTAAATATAAGCTTACAGGGAGATGTAGGTGACTATGAAAATATTTTGTGTTAAGTATTCTTTTGAAAACCCAACTTGGAGGAAAGGGCACTGACTAAAGGAAGGAGGGGTGAAGGGTCATCATAGGGTGCTATGGGAATAGAAAATATAGTTAGCTTGAGAGGAGGAGGGCAAAGCAAAATATTGGTTGCAGGGAAAAGGTCATCGCGGGAAATTACGCAAATACAAAAAGATGAGATTGTGAACATTCTTGCTGAGATGGCAATCTGAAGCCTGAGAATAGTATTGCAGATGGGGGAAGAAGTAAGTGTGGAGGCACTAAAGGCAGCATGGACATTTGGGGAACAGCATATTCTTCACTGCACTGCTAAATCTTGTCAAAGAAAAAGTGGAAAACAATAAGTGGGGTGGAGGAGGTAAGCAGGGGCCAGATCCTCAAAGGATGGGTGTTAGGGCTGACTTTCATGATAATAATCAGGATGAGTAATAATAACCTTGAAGTATTTTTTTAAAGGCTCTATTAAAGCAGAGCTTCCTGGGTATTGGATATTGGATATTGAATATGAGCCAGAGAAGATTCCACCTGTGGTATCTCTGAAAGGTAACCTGGCCACAAGTCTCAGGGTTCTGCGATTGGCTACAGAGCTCACATTTTAAAAATGAGGAATGGAGAATGAAGACTTTGACTCTCTTTCAGCCAGTGTAGTAAGTCCACAGGGCTACCTGGCATAATAGGATCTGGCCATATGGGATTGTTCTGCTGTGCGTGGGGTCACTATGAGTTGGAAACAACTCGATGGCACCTAACAACAACTATATGGGATTAGACTTCTTCCCAATGCCAATAGCTTTCACATTTCCTCACCTCTTGTTAGCAAGTAGCTCAATGCTCTTATCTATTCTATCACCAGTGTCTTCTGAATCCTCTACCTCACCCTGCAGCAAATCTAGAGAAGCTCTGGAAGTCATCACACACATTCCCATCAGTTACAGGAAAAGAACATGGGTAAGAAGCTACCACAGCCCTGGGGCTAAATGCCTTGTGAACTGAGATCAGTCCTGTTATAAAGAGTACTTAGGCAGGGTGCCTAACCTAGCCTTTTGGGGCTCAGGGGAGCAGCTGCACACACAAAAGAGCTGCAAGGCTACCCTTGTACTTTATCTCTAGTCTTACCCTGCTTCCAGATATGTTCAAAGTCAAGTCCCTGGGTTCAGGGTAGGCTAGCAAATGATTTTCTGGCACAAGCTCAGGGACCATAGACATCAATCTGCAGGCAAAGGGAGCTTGAAACAAAGACAATAATTATGACCCCTTAAAACCAAACTCATTGTCGTCCGGTCTATTTGACTCATAGCGACCCCTCCTTGGATTTCCAAAGTGGTATCTCTGTGGGAGTAGATTGCCCAATCTTCCTTCCAAGGAGTGGCTGGTAGGTTTGAACCACCAGCTTTCGGATTAGCAGTCAAATGCCTTAGGCACTGTGCCACCAGAGCTCCCTTAAAAAGCAATAAAAAAAAAAAAGAAAGAAAGAAAACTCATTGCTGTCAAGTTGGATCCAACTCATAGCGACCCCTCCTTGGGTTTCCGAAGTAGTATCCAGTAAAAGAGGAGTAAGCCTGAGCGGTGTAGTGCCTGAGGCACTTGGCTGTTAACCAGAAGGCTGGCAGTTCAAACTCATCAGCCACTCCTGGGAAGGAAGACTGGGAAATCTACTTCAGTAGTGATGGTGCCTCGGAAACCCAAGGAGGGGTCGCTATGAGTCAGGCCTGACTCATCGGCACATAACAATAACAACATTATATGTCAGGAACTGTTCTGAATACCTTACTGACATTTAATACTCCAAACATTCCAATAAGCAGATAAAAAAAAAAAAAAAAAAAAAACAAGACTCATACGTTGGCTATATCATGATCCTCATTTTACATGTTAGAGATCTGCAGCACAGGGAAGTTTAATGAATTGGCAAAAGCCACTTAGCAAACGACTGGACTCTTCCTGCCCTTAGACTGGTATTAAGTACAATAGCAATAGTCTATATGTCTAGTCATCTACACTATTTCCTGTTTGGCAATGCTTCTTCAGTGCTGGAGCTCTTCTGAATCTGAGGCTGAGAAACAGGGCCTTTTTCATACTAACTTGTTAAATTAGACCTCCTATCTGAAGGCTGGCCCAGCTCCAAGGGAAACAGACCTCCCAGAACCACGGAACTACCCTCCCACTGACTTTTAGAACATCTTTACTGCCTGAAGGCTTGTTGCCTGACCAAACCAGGAGACTGAGCCCCTTAGAATATTAACAACTCTGATCAAGCTGAAAGGCTACTTTGTCATTTGGGATACTATCTTTTAGACAGTTGATTTCACACCCCTAGTGCATTCATGTGCATGTGCACACGCACAGTCCAGCCTGTAGGTTCTCCACAGGGCTTCCTCCAGTCTCCTTCATCCTATCTTCTTCCTACTCCCTACCAACTTTGCATGATTAAAGACCCCATATGATATGACCCCAAGGGATAAGCCCTATGATGAGGCAGAGCCCCACCTCCAGGATAAGCCTTGAGGACACATATGGCCACTCACATGGCTGAGTGTCAGGTCACAGGGCCCAGGAGTATCTTAGGAAAAAAGGGGAATCATTATTCTGATATGAGTCAGTGAGAACAAGCCCAGATTCCAAGAGAAAAAAGGAAGAGGGGAAGAAGAGAAAGCAGTTATGTCATTGGAGAACCATCTTCAGAGGGAAGCTGATTTTTGTGAGCTCTTCCAAGGCACACACCCACTTTCTACCTCCCAAAAGAGTTCTGACCTAGAAACTGCAATCAAGGTATTTGGGTGCCATTTCCCTGCAGATGGAAATTTAGCATTTTTTCTCTTTTGTCTCTTGAAACAGTGCTTTCATTACCATGTTTGAATATGTCCTTTTATTCAGAGATGGGCTTCTTGAGCATGCTCCTCAGCTCCTGCACTGACTGAAATAAAGGCTGGTGAGCTAGTCCTGAGCATTCTTAACCCATAGGATGCTGTAAGGTGCCGAACAGCCACCAGAATCGGGCCATCAGCACTTCTCAAATCATGATATGTAAGTGCTGAGCACTGACAAAATAACAATTGATGCAGGCTGCTTGGAAGCTGAATAGAAGTGGAAAGTTGCAAACCTGGGGTGTCCAATTGATATTTTGGTGACCTAGTGCAGTGTAGTAAATTACTTAGTGTGGCTTTTCTATCCATAAGTCTTTGTAAACTCCAAGGTGGGATTTTCTATGAGCAACTGAGGA